CGGGTTGTGCCCCACACAGCACATTACATAAGCCTTCGGGATCACCCCTTCAGATCCTAGGGCTGCATATCAGGGCACCCCTCGGGGCTTCCCCCTCAGCACTACAAAACCGGGTAGCCCCCGGGGAATGCCTCATTGACGGATGGCCCATGGCACACAGGTAATGGGAGCCCTCGGGTATCCTCATCACCAACTCATCAACAAACAGTGGGCCCCCCGGTAACAACTTCACTGCTGCCCTCATCTGGCAAGCCCTCGGTCCCTGGATCGAGGGGCTCCCCTTCGGCACCACCAGGACATCAACAGCAAGCCTTCGGCTAATCAACACAGGAGTCCTCAGAAGAGAGAGCCTTCGGCATTCCCGCCATTCTCCATTTTTGCCAAGGTTTGGCATTTTCGCTTCATCATTGGGGGAATTCGGTGCACTCTTTTTCCCTCATTAGGATTTTTTCCCAAAGGGTTTTTCCTAATGAGGTTTTTAACGAGGCATCCCCCCAAAATGAAACGAAAAGCGTCAGCCTTCGGCCCACAACAGCAACGTAACTACTTCACTCCTTTTCACCACTTTACAAGTGCCTCAAGGAGTGGGGGACTGGAGGACCCCTTCGGAAAAGTCATTAAATTACAAAATCTGTGAAATTCCAACAAACAACAAAGCAAGCCCTCAAGTCCCGACATGTGGGTAACTGAGGGACTGCCTTCGGCAGGGACATAAAAGCAGCAACTCCTCACCAACTTCAGAGATCACAACGGGACAACATCAAAGGGCAAGCACAAATTACTCCTTTTCCCTCAAGTACCTTTCGGCAAAAGGAGTGAGGGACTCCTGATGGAGTATATGGCCCGGGAACCCCCGGCCCACAGACTCCTACTACTCCACCAAAGGCCCAACAGGCCCAACAGGCCCAAATCACAGCGCCCAGAGTACCAAGCAGTCCGCACAACGCACAGGGGTGCCTTTGGTCCCCTGGCCAAAGGCTCCAAATTATCACAGAGCGAGTTTCTCAAGCAAACTAAGAAACTAGGAGAAAACGGCGAAAACAGTAGCCCTCGGCACTTGGAGCCCTCGGCACCAGGGGTGCCATCGGGAGGAAGAGCCCTCGGCTACTGCTCTATGGCCGAAGGCACCTTACTCGACAGGATATCTGCCTCACATGCGTACAGATCACCGTACCCCGCACAGACGTCCCATCCAACAGCCGCATTAAATGCGGCCACATGCGGCTGCCAGCGCCAACCAGTTGAGGTGACCCCTCGGCCAATGAGCGCTTGACACGTGTCCCTGCCCGGCATTTATTGCTACTATAAATAGCACCCCATTTCCCCATTTGTAACCACTCTTAATAGATACCGAATATACACTCTCTCACTCTCTTACTTATTTGCTCTGACTTCTCTCTAAGTTACTCCCCGTAGTAACCCTTCGGATATATACCCCCGGGTAGACTATCCATCAGAAAATATGGTTCTTAAAAACATATCATTAGCTTAAGTGATTCAAAACAATAGAAATATTGTTATGTATCTGTACATGCAACATAAATTATCCCATAAGTTGGCTATGCACATTCATTTAACAAATTTACCATACACATAAATATACATGTAATTTTATTATATCCCATAAATAGATCATATTATAAGTATGAACGTTCGGATATTTATGCATTCTCATAAATACCAAAATATATGTTACTTTGGTCATATATCAATTGTTTTTTTTATGAGAAGAAGTATGATACAAATATGAGTAGAATCAATGATATAATAATTGGTTTTATGAAAATTGGATCCAAAAGGGTGATTATTTATACATGTCTTAAACATACAAAATAAGTGTAAAATATGTATATATGTTCCATTTAGGATTCTTAAAACTAGAGTAAATAAAAACCACAACACACTCAAATGATAACTCATGATAAGCTAAAATAAGCTATCAAATTTATTACTACTATGCATATATTTGTGGATTTTTGTTAATTGGATCTGATTGTATTCCCATTAAATAATTTCCACCATTGTTAATTTTTTAATGTCTTTGTATGATTTATGTTTATCAATTTAGTATGAATGAATAGATCATATGTGATCCAATGTAAACATTAAAATATTTTAAGAAATGCCAAAAGACCATCATATCAAAATCATTAGTAGGCTAGCACTTTTCTCAATATAACCGTTAACATATAACCACTATAGTTTAGTTGACTAATTGCCCATATTCTCCATAAATTGGATTTAAAGTGTAATACTCCGTAAATGATAGTGATTTCATACTTTATGGGTGTTATAAGTTAATTAAATTCAATTAATGTCATTAATTGAGAGACTAAATGTTCAATTGTAACCGGTATTGGCTTATAAATACGTTTGAATTGTATGAGTTAATTGACTAGTAAATGTCATTAAAATCTTTATTTGAGAATAATATTTGTTTTGATGAGAATAAATATTATTTTGATGAGAATAAAATATTATTGAAATTAATAAAATTTATTGAAATTTATTTAAATTAATTATATTTATTCGCATGAACTATATCCCATCTCATAGTATACTTATAAAAGCAGCGATGTAGATGTACAGAGTATGATTCTGCTAATTAAGTCAAAATTTGGAATTTATCAGATATCGATATTGAATCAAAATAATTTTTTTTGGTTCCCTTATGAATACCGATTGTTTCCACAATTGAAACTTTTAGTACGTGGTATAACAAATTAACAATTTGTGGTTACTAAAAAAATATTTTCAGTGCTTCATTTTAAAAAAAATTAAGGACGTATGATGATCGTAAATTGATGTTAAAATAAAAGAAAATGAGATGTGATGAAATTCACGAAAATTGATGTGAAAAACAGTATCTGTTGCTGCAAGTTTGAAATTTATGACCTTAAACATTTTTTTAAGGGTGTAATACATAGATTATTAATTATATCTGCGGTTTTTTAGAAAAATCATTCCTTTTTTTTGCTTAACATATCTACAATTGAAATTTCAGATAGAAAACTAAGCTTTCAATTTTTTTTTAAACTATCACCAATCGCATAACAGTCATTTGGCAGAAGAAAATACAGTGCTCTATATATTATGAAAAGCAAATCGTGATACACTTAAAAAAGAATGAATAGGATTCAAACACGGCACATGAATTCAGATCGGGTATCTCTTTTTTCTAGGGGAAGGAGACGTAGTGAAAAATACCTGGAAATAATGAGCTGTTTGATCAAGCATGATCAAGATGAGTCTGAATGCAAAGCCGGAGAGGATGAGATGCGATATATGTGGGAAGGAGTGGATGTTATATTATTTTCTGGAGCCGTGCTGATAACGTGTTGTAAAACAAGGCCGAAAAACATATAATTCATTCACATATAGCCATCTATATATACAAGGAGAAGGGAGCTAGGGTTACACTTGATATGGGCCAGAACATATGGGCTTGGGGGTTAATGGACATCCACATATTACATAACATAGTGAACATTAGTAAATAATTTTAAGCAAAATATGTTTAATTGCACAAATGACAAAGATTAGTGAACATTAGTAGCAAAACTGTGGCAGGCTGGTTGGCCCGAACCGGTTCAAGAACCGTGGACCGGGCCGGTCTGGGCCCGAACAGTACCGGTTCGGGCCGGTTCCGGTTCAGTTCACCCGGCTCGAGTCCATCCCTAGTCGCAGGTCGGCAGCGCATGGTTAAGAAGAACGAAGGAAATAGCGAGTAGGATGGGTTTTTTAGGAAGAAAATTAATAAGTAAACGAGAATATAAGATAACCTAAGACCTTGGTGGGTTTAAGATGACTGGTAATGTCATTCCCTTTTTCAGTTTTGGGAATGTAACATTCCCAAAAAAAGAACCAAACCCGCCAACCAAACACAGGCATCTCATATCCCGGGCATCAGATTCCAACTTGTATAAGATATTACCTCCAACCAAACACTGCCTTAGAGAAATCATTCAAGAGGTTAGCCGTGAACGGGGTACAAGGAAGGGAAGAGGACAAAGAGATCAACCACATTTTATAACTTTATTTTTAATTAAATCTGAAATTTGAAGTTGGAGTGTTGCACTCGGCATTTTAATAAATTAGGTTGGTCGTTGGGTTAATCATCTGTATGGTGGTTGTGTTATTTATTTGTTTAAACTCTAAAGCCATGTATTACTTTATATTATATATATATATATATATATATATATATATATATATATATATATATATATATATATATATATATATATATGATAGATAATGTTATTAAACATATTGGAATGCTATTAATTATTTTATATGATGTGGTGATTTAAATTCATTGAATTTATTTTAATTTATGATTTAGGATGGTTTTAAGTAGACTAAGATTTTCTAGTCAGATCTGATATAGTTTGGTCTGAATTGATCTGATTTGTTAATGTCTGGTCTCTATATATTTCATAATAGTCCAAGTGTGGTGTAGTTTGATCTTATCTGATGTGGTTTGGCCTAAACTTGTATGAATCTATTTGAGATTGAAAATAGTCCAAGTAAAAACAATTTTAAATGAAATAATTATACATCTAGTAGAGACTTATCTTTTAAAAAATAATACTCCTTATGTTATTGCACACAATTAAAAAAATGTATTAATGTACTAAAAACATAATGAATCTCTTCCAAAAGATTAAAACTCAATTTGATCAATTGTGATATATTTTGTTCAAACTTTTAATATTGTAACAATACAATTATAATTTATTAATTTCTGTTCTTTTGATTTTATCAAAAGAAAAATTGTTCTTTTGATGTATCTTTCACTTACTCCGCCCCAATAAGCTTTTTCCTGGATCTGCTCGAGGCAGCTCTAGTCAGACCTCAGGTAAGGAAAAGGCAATTACTGTTATAGTAACTTCTTTCAGTCCTGTTTTCCTTATAGTTTTACTGTTAAGGAAAACTTTAATTTAAACCGAGCTAATAAGCCATTAACGAAAATAACGCGCGCAAATGAAGAGAGGCTAAATACTAAAACTCTATTAACAGTAGAGAAACATAGACATTTCATGTCAATAAACAGGTGCAGGGCTTTATTACTCACCTGCACTTCATACGACAACGCAATTTTCCAAACACACTAGAATGTGAACCAATAAACACACATTCTAGCAAACAAGGCTGCCAGAAATGGCAATAAGAACAAACCATTTACCCTGCCTCCTACAATTGCACTTACGATATCGGGAGCTCTACCAGCTGAAGAAGTGATAGTGCTTTTAGAATCAATTCTTACCCTACTAAAACTAGCCATCCTCGGTTTAACCATCACGCTTTCAGCGGCTGATGCAGGGTCACCAGGTATCGCTTCCATAAATGATCATAATGTAAAAGACTTTGAGACCCTTCATTCTGTTTGTTCTTCTGATTCTGGTATTGTTGTGAGGCGCTACTTGTAGAAACACCAGCATACACAGCACCTGAATATCCCAGAAACTCTAATATTAGCAAAAACATCAAATTCAATGAGTTGGTAAGCCATCCTCGGTTTACCCATCACGCTTTCAGCGGCTGATGCAGGGTCACCAGGTATCGCTTCCACAAATGATCATAATGTAAAAGACTTTGAGACCCTTCATTCTGTTTGTTCTTCTGATTCTGGTATTGTTGTGAGGCGCTACTTGTAGAAACACCAGCATACACAGCACCTGAATATCCCAGAAACTCTAATATTAGCAAAAACATCAAATTCAATGAGTTGGAAAGCTTTCCAAGGACAAGCTGCCTTCTCCAAGTCAAACACAACATACCTATTAGTCCTTTACCCTCCCCTTCATACATTTTCTGGATTAATACATTTCGAATGGTGAAAAAAACTTACATGCACAAATACAAAAAAAAACAAAAAAATACCGAATCCAGTTTGGAGATTAGTTAATCTGTATTCAGCAGATCAGAACTATCCAACTCACTGATATATATGATGAAATATTGCCGCTCAGAAAAATATAAAGCTCCACACATGGGCAGGCATAACTGCAGAAGAATTAGCATTGAAACTGCAAGTATGTACCTGTCACTGGTAAAGGCATAGTTCCTTTGTGTCCCTCTGTGGAGTTGTGAATACAATTATTTGCTCTGAAGTTCCACATCTCATTCCCAGAAGTAGGGACAGAATTTGGGGATTGGCCAACAAAATCATTTTCCGGCAGCCTTTGATGCTGAGATGGATTTACTGTTTGATTATTAGATGTAAAATCACCAAGGAAGAGGTCAGAGTCATTAAACAAATCAAACCCATCATACTCTCTCAGCTGGGCATTCCCTGAGATCCCGTCACTTGCTGGGGGAAACTGCACAGGCCCTGTGCCAAGAAGATCATCCATCTCAAGAATACCTTCCTCGGGAAACTGAAGATCTAAGAGCTCTGGATACTGACTGAATTCAGACCGTGCAGTAAATGCTGCCTCAGTTTTATCCCACGACTGCTCAGCAATAAAGCTTGAATCCAAATTATCTTGTTGAGAGCCTGGATAATACATCATTAAAAGCTCAGAATATACCAGATCCTCAATTGATCCATTAACAACAGTGCTATGAGTCTCTTCTTCTCCAAGAAACTGAAATTAAAATAGCACGAAAACAGTCAGTCATTATGAAGCTTAAGATTTGTATAGATTTAAAAACAGAAATAATAACTTGAGAAAACTAAAATCGACATCTTTCTGCCTATTCCAAATAGGTGGCATTAATGTAACAAACTAGCAGCCTCTGCGAAATTAGCACAAAAGTAACACAAAACTGAATGTAAAATCGCACAAGAAACAAGTTCACACCTGAGTTAGTGCCTGTTCAAAGTCATCAAGATTTACTGGCAATTGTGCCTGATCATCAACTATGTTGTTCAAAAGCTCCACAACATCAACCAACGAGGGATCTACCTGCGCGTTTCTACAGCTATCTGCAGGAGGAACTCCGTCCCCACTGTGATCACCAGACACCATGTCAAACTTACTAGTGGTTTTCACAAATTCATCACCAGCCCAATCCTCCTCTCTAAAAGGGGCTCCATAATGCTGTCCATTCTTAGGACCAGGTCCACTCTTCTTAAACAATTTGTAAAACACATAATAGTCATGGACATTTTGACAACTCTTAAGCTCATCTTCCTCCAATACGTACTCATGCATCACCCATTCAGTTCGCTGACCAGTGGGTGCACGCCCCCTGTAGAAAACCAAAGTTTCCTTAATCCCAACATAACGTGAATTGCAGGAAATTGTACGATCATTTCCTGTTGCCTTCCAATAGCCTTGCCTAGTAGCTCTGTTTACCCTTGAACCATTTGGATACTTCCTGTCTCGGGGGCTGAAAAAGAACCACTGTCTGTCCCCATTCTTCAACGATGCCAACTCTACACCCAAATCACCAAACTGGATTCGGTACTTTTGGTCCTCCAGCCTCTGCAACCTTTGCCCCCTTCCATGACCACAACCACTTCTAGGCCAACTGCCTCTGCCCCTCCAACCTCTGCCACATTCACCCCTCCCACCTTTGCCACCCTCACCACTCCTACTCCCGCTCACACCGCCTCCACCACGACTCCCACTCCCACTAGCACCACCCCCACCACCATTTCCACTCTGACCATCACCACCACTTCCACTCCCACCAGCATCACCTCTCCCACTCCCACTCCCATTAGCAGACTCACTCCCACCACCAGTATCACATGTACCCGAATGAAAAAAAACTAAAAAATCCCCTGTTGAATGACGGTTTTGTACGCCTTCTATCCATCCTGTGTGGTTTTCATTACAAATTTGACGTGTTACAAAATCAAATTCTATTAAAACCTCTTTTAGTACTTGTTCTGTATCACTCTCCTCCATCTTCTTACCCTTTTTCTTCATTTTCTTCTCCATTTTCTTCCTCTTTCTCATTTCACTTTTCGTTTCTACGACATAATCCTTCCCCTTCTCTTTCTCTTGTTTCCCTACCCTTAAAATGGGCTTCACAACAGCCCCGAGTACATTCTCAAAATACTTCATTAAAATAAGTCGGACAGACGAAGCTTTAATACCCACAAAATCAGCAAACTGTTTAGAAGGAACGGGATTGTAGTTTTTGCATTCCCGTTGGAGATGTTTTACTATTCCCTCCCCACCCACTTTAGCAAATAGTTCTAGAGCTGTTTGGAAAAAAGTTAGTGGTTGGTAGTGAGTGTAAACTATATGGCTTACGAAATTTCTACTAAGAATGTCTGGCATTTGTTTAAACTCGATATCTCTATGAGGCATATATTTATAAAGTTCCCTACGGAGTTCTAAGGGTAAACTGGATGGTTTAAAACCTGTACCATGGTATTGAGCCAGAGAGACAGCTCCCTTAGGTTGATAAAGTGTGTGGATTTTACCCACATGGGGGTCCTTCAGCCATTGCTTAACGGGAACATTTTCTAATACATATATACTACATGGAAATCGTATTGAAAGAGAGTAAATACGATACTTAGAAGTGGTAGGGAATGGCGCCGAGATGAAACCGTGAGCATCACCCTCAGCTTCATTGTTTTCCTTCTTTCTCTCCCTTTTTCTCTTGCCCATTTTGTCAGTGATCAAGACAGTATTAGAGAAGACGAAGAAAGCAGTCGTTAGACAATATTACAGAAGACAATATTAGAGAAGACGAACGATATTAGAGAAGACGAACAATATGCGGGTCACTCAATGGCTTATTGGGCGTTCTCGGCCCACTGGCTTATTGACAAATTTTTTCAAATTTAGCTAGGAATGTCCTCATCCATTTCTAAGTTTGGTATCACGAAATTCGGCTGATTCCGCTTATCCTACTGAAATTTATGAAGTTATGATTGAAGTGGTTGCATTGATTGATTATGTTGATTTAAGAAATAATAATTTTTAAAATACATTTTATTAATAAAATAAAGAAAAAATTATACGTAAAAATAGCTAAAATGATCATGTACAATAATTTCAGCCAATACAGTCACAGAAGTAACTCAAACCTTATTTTTTCTTATTATTACACAATTCAGCGCGCGAAAACAAAAGTTACGTGTTTGGTGAAAAGATGGCTCATAAGATTGATAAGGCGGAAAACAATGTTACCAAACGGCCCTTCAATTGTTTTACAAGTAGTACTTCTATTTAATTAATAATAACATTATTTTTGGTACCTGTTGGGTTAATTGCCAGGGATTGGCCCATAAACCCATAAGGTCCACCTTACGAACGTCTCCAGAGACAAGAATAACAGGGAGTGCCTCCCCCAGAACAAGAGACGGACGTCTCCTACGGGCCACCAGGGCCCAATCCTATGGATAGTCGGGTACGAAGGTCCAAGGGGGCTACATGACGTTTGGTGTCTAAAAACTCTGATGGAGTATATGGCCCAGGGACCCCCGGCCCATAGACTCCTACTCCTCTAACCAAGGCCCAATAGGCCCAGGAAGCACAACAGGCCCAAATCACAGCGCCCCGAGTACCAAGAAGCCAACAATGCACACTGGGGGTGCCTTCGGCCCCTTGGCCGAAGGCTCCAGATACTCACAGAAAGGCTATTTTTAGCATACAAAGTTACAGGGAGAAAACGGCGAAAAACAGTAGCCCTCAGCACCTGGAGCCCTCGACCTTAAGGGGCCTTCGACAAGAAGAACCCTCGGCTAATCATCTACAACCGAGGGTACCTTCCTCGACAAGAATATCCTCTCCACATGCGCCTGGGTCGCCGTACCAAGTACAACGTCACATCCAACCGCCGCATTAAATGCGGCCACATGTGAATGCTAGTGACACCCGGTTGATGTGACCCCTCGGCCGTTGGATGCTTGACACGTGTTCCCATCTCGCATTTATTGCTACTATAAATAGCACCCCATTTCCCCTTTGTAAACCAGATTCTGAATACGCTTTGAACTCATATATTCAATACACTTTCTCTCTCTGACTTGCTCTGACTTCTCTCCAGTTACTCCCCGCAGTAACCCTTCGGATACATACCCCCGGGTAGACTTTCCATCATTTGGTGCTCTCGTTGAGAGGTCGAATAATCAAGTAAGAAACCTTCCCCCTCGCCAAACACAAAACATCTACCAAAATGGTGAGAACAACCTGTGCTAACTCCAAGAACGTTGATGACAAGAACCTGGCCCTCGGCGATGTCAACACCCCCGAAGTCTCTAACAGGGCTCTCGAGGGCAGCGCCTTCGCTGGGTTGGAATAGGCGGCTGTCGACCTACGCCTTCAGATTCAACAAAATGCCCCCGATGCCCGCCTCGGCATCGAGGCCAAAAAGAAGGACCGGAGCGAAAACCAAGTTAGCCCTCCGGTCATCACTATCGACGTACAGTCGGCATTTTCCGCCTTCATCCAAACACTCACCCAGAACCCGGGTGCCTTCGGCACTTTGGTTCCCCTTCAACCTCAGGTCGGGGGAAACATCATGCCTCCCCCTCATCCACACCCCCTCGGGAACCCTGTCCTTCGGATTGGGAACGTCGAGGGGGTCGTGGCCCAAGACACGGCCTCCCAGGAAGTCCAATCCCGGGACCGCCACAACATGAACAAGGAACAGCCCCGGACCTCCGCCCTCAAGAGACTCGGAGGGGCGCAAGACCGCCGAGGGGTCCAAGACCGCCTCGGGGGGGGAGGCGCTCCAAAGGCCTCAGGAAAGTGGCAGATTCGTTTCCCGGGCGGATGAAAGACGTCCCCCTCAGGACAAAGGCAAGGCACCTCTCCATGCCGACGACGCCCGTCACCACATCAACCAGGCCCACTCGGCCCGTGTCTGTTCGCAGGGGGCGGAGGCCCTCCCGAAGGACCCTCCAGCGCCGGCTTGACGAGATGGAGGCCACCAAAGCGCACACCACCGCTTCTGCCCCTCATGCAGACCTGAAGTATGAGGCCATGTTGGCCAAGATGGAAGAGATGCAGAAGAAGATAGCCGAGGGTTCCGGGGAACCCACCATACAACTCCGGACCCGGACGCCATTTACCCCAAGGGTATTGGCGGCCCGGATCCCAGAAAAATACCGAGGGCAACTCATCAAGCCCTACGACGGAAAAACTGACCCCCAGGAGCACTACAGCAGGTACCAAAACAGTATGATGATGGTGGGGGCATCGAATGATTATTTGTGTCGTTGGTTCCTCTCCACCTTAGAGGGGTCGGCTTACGAATGGTTCAACCGATTGCCCGAAGGCTGCATCGACTCGTGGCAAGAACTCGCCCAGCGATTCTTGACACAATTTGCGGGAAGGCGCCGGACAAGGAAGCACTTCTCTCATTTACTAACGGTGAGGCAGAAGAAGGATGAGACCCTTCGGGATTTCCTGGAACGTTGGAGGACGGAGGCGGATAAAGTCGACGGCGCCGATGACGGAACCCTCCTGGCCCTCCTGCAAACCGTCCTCTGCACCGGAAACTTTTCAAGGAGTCTCATCATCGAACCTCCCCGCGATTACATAAGGACCCTACAGCGGGGGGACCGGTATGCCGAGGCCGAGGAGGTGGAAAAATACCACCACAACCCCGACCAGCAGCGCCCTCGGCCAGACGAAAAAAACAACCGGGGGTCGGGGGCTCCCTCACCTCAATCTAAGGGGCTGGCACCCCCCGGTGATCGCCCCTGGCCTAGCCCAGCCAAGTCCGGGGGAGGTTATAAGGGGAACCCGAAGACTTGGGTGCAGCCTGTTCTCCTGGAGCACCCCCGGACACCTTTGACGCACCCCGTCAGCGTCATCCTTGACTTTGGCGAGGAGAGGGGCCTAGTTGAGCGCGACTCTTGCACACCCCCGGAGGTATACGCCATCAACCCTCAGTACCCCTACTGTCGTTTCCATCGACACCAGGGGCACAAAACCGATGAATGTCATCAGCTGAAGACGGCCATTGAGAGATTAATACAAGCGGGCCATCTGTCCCAGTTTGTCCAAAGCCCTCAGCAACAGGGTCCGCCCTACCAAGGGCCACCACGAGGGCACCCGGCAAAGGCAAACGTTTGGGTTAACCCAAACACCACCCCCCTCGGCAAAAAGAGGGAAATCAGGAATTTGGAAGAAGAAGAAGAGGAGTACCCCCACTATCAAGAGAAGAAATGCCACATCCTCATGATCACTAGAGGCAACACCGGGGGCGACTCCACCAGCCAACGGAAGAAGTGGGCTCAATCACTTTACGTGGGGGAAGTCACTCACATGCCCCCCGTAAAACGGCTGAGGGAGGAGCCCATAACATTCACCAATGCTGATCTCCCCCCGACTTCCACTCCCCATAGGGACGCTTTGGTGATCCAAAGTGAGATCAACAACACCATCATCCACCGAACTTACATTGACACAGCAGCTCCGTCAATGTAATGTATCTCAACACCTTCAGAGAGTTGCATCTGGAGAGGGGGTCCCTTCGGCCCATCAAGACCCCTCTTGCCGGCTTCACCGGTGACACAATTGATTCCGAGGGGGTCATAACCCTCCCGGTACTATTCGGCGACGGGCTCCATAGAGCCAAGC